GGCTCCCGGCGTCGCCAGCGCGCTCCTCCCCCGCCGCCGAGGGCTGGCCAGGGGCAGCCGGCCCAGAGCCACGGGGAGGCGCTCTGCACATGCCCAGAGGCGGCGGCCGGCCCGCGCCCCGTCGCAGTCTGCGGGAGGCGGCGCCAGCGCGCTCGGGGCTTGGCTGGGCAAGGCGGGCGCCCGGATGGATCTGCCCGGCGTGGCCTCGGGGCAGCGCAGCGGCATCCTGCCCTCCGGCTCCCGCACCCGGCGAGTCTTCCTGCCTCTGGGGGAACGTGGCGCAGTGGTTAGAGTGCAGGCGCCGCAGTTCCTGACAGCCGGGACACAGGCAGGGCGCCTCGGGCCAGCCACTCACTCTTGGCCTGGCCTACTTCATAGGGCTGTTGCGGCGGTGACGTGGCGAGGCGAGCCCTTCCCCTCCGGCACACCGGGGTCCCCAGCCTCCGGGGCTGCCCCAGGCACCGTGCATCCTGCTTCGGTCTGGACCCGACCCACTGGCCCCGTCCACACAAGTCGGTGTTCCTTTCGCCTCTGCGGCAGTGAAGGGCCCTCGGGTGGAGGCAGCGGGCGGCTGGGCATGGCAGGGACTCGTCCGCCCGGGCAGCAGCTTCCCTGCCGAAGCTGGAGAGCCGGGGAGGAACCGGGGTCCGGGGCCCAGCCCCGTGCCGCCCCTTTGCCTTTCTGTCCCAGCCTCGCCAGACTCGGCTCAGCATTATTTTTATTTTCAGCCAGCTGCTTGAAATAAACAACCGGGCCAGAGTTGGTTCCCCTGCCAGGGCAAGTCCAGAGAGCGGCTTGTTTATGCTGCGAATTCCACACTGCCGCGTTCCTGCAACTCCCAGGGAACAGAGGGTTCAGACCCGAGCTGCAAAGGGCAGCCAAAGCTCTGCTTGCAGCTGGTGTGTGTGTTGGGGGGGGGGGGTGCGCATGTGCGCACGCTTGGTGGTGTGCTGCATGCACAGGACGGCCGTCGCATCACACAGCACTCTTCTCCTCCTCGCGAATCGGCCTGCCAACCTGGGTTGCATGCTGGGCCCAGGGCACCGGGCTGTGCGTCGCGGGCAGGCGGCAGGCTGGGCATCGCCGGAGTCGCTGGATAAACCGAGGCGTCGGACCCAGAGCAGGATAGCTGGAACTGAGAGCAGGGGGGGCTGGGGGGCTGTTTCACACGTGTGCTTGCACACCCCTGTGCACACATGCCCCAGCCGGGGTTCTTCGCCCCCCACCTCTCTGCACAATCAGTCCACAAACTGACCCCCAGTCTGCTGCAGAAGGCCAGGGGCTCAGCCTTAGCAAGCCGGGTGTGATGGAGGCCAGGAAGACTAAAGTGCCCAAGTTCTGGGTGACTCAGAATTTAAGGAGCAAGAGCGCCCGGCTGCAAACGGTCCGGGTCGACTGGGCACCGAGACCACGCCTGCCTCTCCCTGGCGCTGGAGAAGGCCCGAGTGGCAGGTCCCGGCCATGCGCCCGGCGCCACGGGGGAGCAGCACCGCTGGGTGCAGGCCGAGGCCCCGTGCTGTGGCCTGGAAGAGGCCGGCCACGAGCCCGGCAGCCTTGGCTGGGACTCGTCTCGGAGCCCACCCCAGGCCTGGTGGGAACGGCCGGGCACAGCTCTCCGGATTTCGCCCCGATGGGCCACCGCAGAAGCGGCACGGACTCCACGCCACGCCACCTGCGGAATCAACGCCGAGCAGCCCCTCCTGCCCCCCCGTCTGTTGCCGGCAGCGCCAGCCTCGAGGGTCCCCGCTTGCCGGTCGTGAAGCCAGCGCTCGGACGGCGCATTACGGAGGAGCCCACAGGTGAAGGCAGGATCCTCCGTGGAACGAGGTGCAGCGCCATCAGCGACCTCCGCCTCGCACAGTCCAGGATGGCAACAAGCCCCTCTGCCAGCCTTGAGCCGCTGCTCCCTGGGGGGTCACCCCAGGGCCCACCGGCTGGGACTCCTGGGCGGTGCAGCCCCTCGGATCCGGGGGGCAGCAGGCTGGGAAAGGCTGGCACAGCCTCCGATCCGAGGGGAGGAAGAGGCGCCCAGCCGGGGAAAGGGCCCCGCGGACGGGAGGGCTGCTGGGGAGACCCCGCGGCCCGGCGCCCGTGAAGCGGGGGCCAGCCCTCCCCCCGGAGCCGGGTGGGCAGCTCGTGGCGGCGCCCCCCCATCCGTCAGCCTGGCACAGCTGCCGCCCACTTGCCGCTCGCTGCAGCGAGGCCGGCGGCGTGATTCAGCCGGCGAGTGTTTATCCCCAGCCTTGGCCCCGCCCGGCGTGGGTTTCCATGGAAAGCCTCCACTGAAAACAAGAACGGGAGTGACTCAGAGGTGATGGGAAGAGGGGGAGGCGGGGGGAGCGTCGTCCCACCAGGCCCATCTCGCTGCCCCCCCGGCCCACTCCGAGCGCAGCCCAGCCACGAGGGTGAAGGTTGGCCTACGTGTCCAAGGCCTGCTGTCAGCCCACACGGCTCGTCCCGGGAGGCCCCGCTGTTTACGAGGGAGCCGAAGGATGAGTAGAAGGAGCACAACAGGCGGGGGGGGGGGGGCTGTCTCTGCGCAGGCGCAGGGGGAGGAGGCAGGTGCCTCAGGCGGGAGGGAGGCGATGTGGCGGGGGAAGCGTGGGGCACGAGGCGGCTGTGGGGAGACCGTCTTCTGGGCATGGGGAGGGCTGCCGGACGGAGGCGGCGCTGGCCCTGGGTTCGAGCCCGGCCATCCAGGAGCAGCTGGGGGCACACCTTTGCTGCGGCGAGCTGGGAGAAGGGGGCTCCCTCCACATGGCCCCCGGTTCCACCTCCCCACCAGAAGAGGGTGAGGGCACAGTTGGGGGAGGCGCGACCGGAGGACCCTGCCTGGCTGAGGGCCCAGACAGGCACTGCAGCCCAGAACGGTCCTGGCACGGCCGGACCACGATGCGGGATGGACAGGCAGGCCACCGTGCTCCTCAAGACACGAGGCACGCGCCCCACCATTTAGGGGAGGCGCCCTGTGGCAGAGACACCCTTCTCTGAATGCCCCCCTCCACCAAGGCCCCACAGTCCTCCCCGCCCCAGTGCCAGCCAGGCCGGCCTCTCGTAGCCCTCGATGGTCGAGCCTGAAGTGCTGGCGCCGCAGCCCCAGGCGCATCTGGGCTGCCTGCCTGCTGGGCCATGCCGTGGGACATGCATGGGCCCGAGAGAGCCCCCAGGACCCTCCTCCCTCCCAGAGCCTGGGTCAGCTCCGGGGAAAGGCTGCTTGCTGTGCCCATCTCTGGCAACGAAGCCCAGCATCCCCGAGGCCGGAGCGGCCAAGCCAGCCTGCTGTGCCAGGCCTCCTGCGGCCCACCGAGCGTGGGGAAGGGTCGAAGCGCCGGCTTCCCCGGGCTGCAGGGCTGCGGCTGTTGCACCCGCTCGCTGGGCAGCCCAGCTGGGTATGCAAGGAACGGAAAGCGCAAGAGCATGAAGAGCGGACGGACGCCTTGCTCGCTCTCCCAGGCGGCTCTCCCGGTGCCTGAAGGCGGGCAGGCGCCATGGGGGGGGCTGTGCTGCCCTCTCGTGCGCGAGCGAAGGAGTGCAACCTGGCTCCCGAAAGCCTCGGCAGCCCCACTGCTCCTAGAACCCCTGACAAGTAATGGGGAAATCACGGCCCCCCGGGGATTATCCTATGGGACTGGAGGGACCAAACCCTCTGGCCCAACCTCCCGCAATCTGGGGGTGAGAGGGGCACCCTCTTCGGCCTCTGGCCAGAGAAAAGACCCAGCACAGAGCTGTGGAAGTCACGCCCCAGCCCGGTGTGGCAGGGCCACGAGGCCTATGCAAGCCCACCCTGCCACTGAGGGGCTCTCAGCTGGCCACCCCAAGAGGGTACCCACTCCTGGATTCAGTGCCCTGTCCCGTGGAAAGGGCCAAAGCAGCGGCCTTTCCCTGTGCCAGTGCCTCGTGGGCCTTGGTGGCCGAGCTCAAAGGCCGCTCTCGCGCCCCCCCCCCCCCCCGAACGAGTCCCCGCGGTACCTGCAGAAGCAGTTCCTTGTTAAGGTATTGGCAATTTCCACACTGGGACACACAACGGTTTTTGAGACCTCACAGGTCATGTTTGCATTGGACAGGACAGTGAGTGACACCCCACAACCTGGGCAGCGAGACGGGCTGGCGCGCAGTGCTCCTTCCGCGGCCCTCGTCTCCCGGGTCCTCTCCCGGGCCACTGCGGCACCAGGCACGTCTCCTGGACCACCTGCTACTTTATAAACCGGTTTAAGAATTCCAGGTAAGCTTTCTTCTGTGGGGTGGAGACCGGGATGAAGTGTCCCCCCGGGTGGGTGAGGATGACGGGCTCCACAAAGTGCGAGGCCAGCTCTCTGCTCATCTCAGCAGGGATGACCTGGTCCGTCTCCCCCAGGACGTGCAGGCTGGGCACAGCAATGGGGCCCTGGTAGTAGCCGCAGTGGCAGACGGCCCGGCTCTTGAAGCCCGCGATCAGGATGGCGAAGTCGAACGGGAAGCGGGCGTCTCCCTGCTGCTTCAGAGCGCAGATGATGCCAGCCAGGGCCGCCCCCTGGCTGAACCCCAGCAGCCCGTCAACGGGGCCATGCTCCACGAAGGCCTGGGCCACCCCGGAGAGAGATTCCTCCAGGCCTCGGCAGGAGGACGCCTCTTCCAGGGCACTGAACGTCCCCTCCTGGGGGTTTGAGAACCACCACCCCCGCGAGTCGGCTTCCAGCACGTCTGATTCGGAGTCTCCTGCAAAGATGAGAAGAAGAATGCCAAGGAGAGGGAATGGGGGGGGGGGTTCCTGCCTTTTTCAGGGCACAACAAAGCCGCCACAGGCTGAGGGAGCTGCCACCTCTCCCGCACCCCCTGAAGTTGGCTCCCCGTGCCCATTCCCCCCCCCCCCGTCTTTCCTTGCAGCACCGGCTCCAGCGGCACTGCCAACGGGACTGGCCGGCAGGCAAGACTGCTCATGACAAGGCAGTGCAGCAAGGAACAGGCTGCCAGCACACACAGCAAGCAACGTGTGCGGCAGTCAAGCAGTCTAGATGGAAACAGAGCGCACCAGAAGGGGCCTCCCGGGCCATCTAGTCTGACCCCCGGCTCCAGCCGGCTCGGCTCACGCCATGCCCACCATGTGCATGGCCAGCCTGTCCTCGAACACCCTCACCGAGGGGGCCTCAGCCACCTCCCGCGGAAGCCCATTCCACACCCTCGGGGGCCTAACCGTCAGGAAGGGCTTCCTGGCATCCAAACCAGACCTTGCTTCCGTCCTGCCTTCCTCTGCCGGGAAAACAGGGCTCCGCCTCGCGACCTCCATGTCACACTGGTGACCCGTGTTCAGCCTGCAGTCGGCCAGCCCCCGAGGCGCCTTTCACAAGTGCTGCTCCCCAGCCGCTCGCCCCCCTTCCCACACCTGTGACACCTCGTCCTGGGTCCCAGGTGCGAGGCCCGAACGCCGTCCCGTTGCCTCCTGCCACTGCCAGAGTCCCTGGGACCCAGGAGCGAGCCCTGCCACCCGCTCGCCCCCAGCCTCCTTCCGGACGATTCCCCACTCACGGTGACCCCGATCCGTAGCTCCATCTTCCCCCCCCCCACCTGCTGGTTAACGTGGCGGAACAACAAGCCCCGCCCTCTGGACACCGTCCTCAAGGCTGCTGCCCCCGGCCGGGCGCCCCGAAGGGGGGGGATGAGGGGACCTGTAGTCCCGGACACACCCCGCGGGGCGAGGCGGGCGCGGCGCCGCCACCGGGCACCCCTCGCACCTGCCTGCGGCCGCGCGCGCACCAGGTGAGGCGCGTCCACGTTCAGCAGCTGCGCGCGCCCGCGGAGGGCCTTGCGCAGAGCGCCAGTGCGCGCCCGGAAGCTGCCCGCGTCCTGCCGGTATCCATGGAGACAGAGCAGCCGCAGCCCCCCGTCCCGGCTGGAAGACATGCCTCATCCGGGCACTGCCCCGCTCCTCCGGCGGAAAACGCGAAGCCGGAAGTGCACAACAGGCCGCTCCTCCTCCTAATCTCGATGGTTTGGGAAGCCGGAAGCGCTGTTCCCGCGCAGCCGCAGACTTCATTCCTTGGCCCCAGAGGCCACTGGTAGAGAAGCCCATCTCGCTTCCGCGGAGGGGAGATTCCGGGTTCATTTTCAAGCATCCTTTATACATTTTTGTGTATGTAGAAAATTATTTTGACCTGCATCCAGGGCTTTCTAGGCCTTTAGAAAAGCTAATTTCCACATTGCAAGCCCGGCAGGGCAGAAGGCTGCACGTGTGGCTCACAACAGCCCTGCAGTGTAGACCACTGCAAGGCCAGACGGGACTGAAGCTGCTTTGAGATGGCACTTAAACATGTTGCTTTATGCATTCAGTCACACCACACAAAGTAAAATTGAGGTTCCAGGGATCTGCCGCTAGCAGACGCTTTGCCCTCCGCTGCCCACTGACTGCCGCAGGCCTTGAACTCCTGTCTGATTCCAGCACTGCAAGTGCACAGGGATTTGCTGGGTGGGGATGATGGGAGTTGCAGAGAGCCCATCCAGAGAGTGGCCTGGGCCCATGAAAACACAGATTTGCCCAAGCGCCTCTGAGGGTTCGCCGGCCGGGAAAGGAAGCTACACAGACAACTCTACTGAATGCTATTACTGAGAAATGTTTTTTAAAAGATTTTGCTACCAATAATTTAAGCGAGAGTAATTCTTCTGTTTCCTCCATTCGTGGATTGCGCGTCTCTTTCATAACCTCACAGTCATATATTTGGCTCTCCTGTCGTCATCGTCCACCCTCCTTTTATCCTCACAACCGCCCTGCGAGGGAGATCAGGCTCATCCCCACCAGCGCCCTGGCTGCATGGCTGGGGACCCAGGCTCCCCGGCCACACATGGCCCAGTCCGGCCAGAGACAGCAAGGCCCGGCACTTCGCAGGCACCAGGCCCTGCCTGCTGTTGTCTCTAGCTCCAGTGCTGCATTTGCATTATTTTAAATATTTCGTTGAACCTGCCGTTTTAATTTGATGAATGAATGCCTCACAATCAATAAAAAGACTGATCAAAAGCCTGGCAGGGAGGATTCAGAGTCAGGTCAAAGGAGGAAAGGCTTTGGAAGAAGGGTAAAACCCGAATCTGCACCTGAGTCCTTTTGCGGTCGCACTGAGACCCGAGAGCGGCAGGAAGCGCCACCCCGTGCTGCTCACGGCTTCAGGAACTGGTCTGGGCAGCCTGCCACAGCAGAGCCACGTTTCATGGCCGTGGGGTGATGCAGCCGGCCCTCAGGCAGGCATGGGTCCAGATGATGTCCGCCCTCCCCAGACCTGACCGCTTCTCCTTGAAGGGCAGGAGGTCCCAGCGGCCCCCAAGAGCCAGAAGCAAGGCCACACACTTCCACACCTCATGGAGAAGCCCTCTGCACATGGGCAGGAGCCTTCCTGTTCCCAGAGCCAGGGCCTAGGGCTCGGCCATGGCTCCAATTCCCCGCGTCACTTGGGGATATTCATCGGCACGTGGCTGGCTGATGTCCTCGCTGCTTCTGGAGGTGCAGGGCTCCCCGGTCGCCGTTTTCTGTCCTGCACTGGCTCAGCTCTCCCCATCCAGCTGCGCTCAACATGGTGGCCGGCAACCCCATCATTCACAGCCAGCACCATGGGGATAGCAGTCCAGCACATCCAGAGACAGCTGGCTGGTGGCCTGGGGAGCACAGGATTCGGGGATGACGATGGCCACGCCGGTGCGTGGAAGGTTTCTGCGCCTCACCTAGCAGGTCTCCTGACCTTCCGGCCGGCACCTTCTGCCCCGCGCGTCCGGAGGCGAAGGGGAGCAGCTGCGAGGCGTCCACACGGGGGTGCGACCTTGCTTCTCCCGAGGCCCGGCTAGGCCGGCTCCGTGCCCGACGGCACGGCCGTCTCCCGCATGGCTGGGCCCTGCGCCGGCCCTCCAGGCTGCTGGCCTTGCTGGGGCGCCTCCTCCTCCTCACGGGGGCTCTGCCCGGCGGGTCGGGGGGCCTTGGCCGGGTCCCTCTGAAATGGGGAAAGAGCAAGAGGGTGAGCGCAGGGCCTGCCACACACCAACGCCTGCTCCAAAGCGGATCTGGGAGCTGCTCTTCTCCCAAAACACCAGCCCTCCCTCAGGCGGCATGGACCAGCCAGAGGTGGGAGGTCGTGGTGGCGGAGGGCAAGCTTCCGCCTCCTCCGGAGAGCAAGACGCTGCTTCCCCTTCCTTCCCCTAATGCCAGGACCCAGCAGGAGCTGCAGGATGGGGTCCCGGGCAGCTCAGCCGGACGCCACGCGGCCCAGAGGCACAACATGGGAGTCACTTCTGCGAGAGATGCAGCGGCTCCTCACACCCACGGGGGCTCAAGTGTGAGCCAGGGAGGGAGGCCCCCGCGGCCATGAGCATACAAGCACTCCAAATAAATTAAATAAAAATCAGGCATCCGAGGCAGAGTGCCCGGGGAGCACGAGCGGGTGCTTTCGGCTGGGAAGCGCGAGGCGCGATGCATTTCTGCTGAGTGGTGGATCAAGCAGCAGGTTGAAACGGCCACGACCCACCCGCCTCGAGGCATAAAAGGTCCCCGGACCTGGATCCCTTCCCGGTCAGGGTCCGCCCCGAGCAAGCACAACCCAAGCGGCCAAATTGAAATTGCAAAGGAGCTGAGGAAAAGCACCGCTGCAGCTGGCCACTTGGAGGAGCTGCTCCCCCACCAGTGAAGCTCCGGCAGCCGGACGGGGGGACCCCGGGGACGCGGGTCTCAGCCAGAGCGTTCCCAGAGCTCCCTGGATGTGCGCCCACGTTCAAAGGGAGCAGGTGTGCAAATGCACACTTCCAGAGGCAACGCCAGTACAAAAAGGCATCCTCTGAGGACCAAAAATTCATAATTTAGCCCATGGAGGACGAGGAATTCCACAGGGGAAAACTAGTGCATCCCCCTAACCCCAAACATTTGCCCTATGTTAGGGTTAGGGGTGTGCACCAGGGTAGGGTTAGGGTTAGAAAAACGAGGGGTCCTGGAGCGATTCTGACGGTTGGAATGTGTTTAGA